AAATGATTCATCTCATTTTGAAGCAGACATCTACACTTGGTCACATGAACTGCATGGTTACATTTAGCTATTTCTCATCCTACCTGATTTAGGAATAGTGCTCTGCAATATCTTGCTCAGATGCCTTCATGTTTGAATAGATAAATCTCACACTGCATCTAGAGGTAGTAAACTCTCTGCTTAGAAAGCAAATTCTACATGCTACTGGTCTGTCTCCCTGTCAGAACTTGCAATCAATCTATTTCACTTGCTTTTGAATTTCTAAACCTTCAAAATGTCAGAAAACAAGATTTTAAAAAAGCACACACTTTACCTTCAGTAATCAATATTTTCTATATAACTACAAATTATTTATTCAAACTGTCTAAAAAATAATACTTCCTTTTTTGAACTTTTGTTAATTAGAATTCCTCCACATGACTTTCTACTTTGATCTGTAAATCAATTTCTGACCCTACCAGAAGCTTGTGAAATATTTATTAGCACAGGAATATTATCACAGCCTGATTATTGTCTAGATCACCCAGCAGCATACATGCCAGCATGTTATTGCTGAGAAACTTGGCTGTGGCATTTGTCTGTAAATTATGACAGTAATTTTCCATGTCCCACTCTCTGCCCTACTACAGGTTTCTGTTTACCCATGTTTTGGTCTGACAGTGCTGTTCCATCTTGTCTCTTTGGCTTGCTGTACAGACATAATCTTGCCAAGTAGGGTTATAAAATCAATATGGCTAAATCGAATAATGGTATTATAATGAAGCAAGCTTCAGAAGAAAAATTTTATTCACTCGTGGATGTCATATTTATTTTAAAAGCAGAGTGTCTGATTTACGGTTATTCTTCTATGCCTTGCATATTAAATGTGGAACTAGATATAATTTAGGGGGAAGATATAATAGATGTCTACAAAAGCATATGCATCGTGGACTAGATGGATAGGTATTGATCCAAATACCTTCCCATTAAGGCCCATTTAATTTGATGATTTGATTATGTTTGAAACAAACAGAACAAGGCGGTTTTGACACAACAGGTTGTAAACCTGTGGAATTCCTTAATAAAAGAGGTTGCAGATGCCAGAAATTTGCACAGTCCCAACAGGAAACCAGAAAAAATATCCTAAGAAGAGACCTTTGGGGGGTCATTACACTGTTGCACTAGGCTTTTGGTGTAAGAAAAAGCAGAAGTCTTAATGTTGTTAAAGTGAACATACTTTCAAAATGGCTTTGTAACTCTTTGTGTAAACCCTTCTTCTTCCCAAGGTTCCTTAGTGTTACCTATACCTTTGGAATGTCTGAGAGATAACTGAGAGCTCGTCTATTGGTTGTTAACCCCTTATTGTCATTGGTTGGTTGTAAGACCTCCTGAACCCCCACTGGTCACTTTGTAATCCCCCCAGGAGGTATTTAAGTTGCTACCCAGAATAAACTCTCTCTGCTTCTCTCCCTGCTTCTGCCGTGTCCTGTGGTCTCTGCGGGGGCAAGGGGACACCTCACGGTGGGAGGGAGGGGGAGGGAGCACTTCCCTCTCCAGGATTAGAGGTAAAAGGAAAAGGCCTCTAGCCTGGGGTCCCCCTCCCTTTCCACCCTCAACGTTCATCATTACATCACCTCAAGCTCAGGAAATTGTGTCAACATTGTTGGAAGCTGGGACGGTGTTAGGGAACAGGCATGCCTCATTTTAACATTTCCTTTATTGACCACTTACAGCCGCACTTGGAGGTATAAGGGACTAGATGTCTTCTCCTAAGTTCTTAAAGTTTGTAGATTTTTACACCAAGCTTCCTCAGAAATGATTACTGGAGCTGGCATTATTTTGTCATGGAAAAACATGAGGAAGCATCTAGAGTCAGCATCTAGATAGCAGACAAATGCTAAGGGCTTAGGCAGGGGAAGATAAGAGAAATTAAGTAACTGGATGGGCAAAAGAGAGGATTCAAAAAGGAGATGACATAGTAAGGACTGGGGAAATGGTCTTTCAGCCACATTCTCATTGAGCAGGACAAGTCTGTCAACAGCAGAGAAAAGCACGGTGAAACGATTATGATACTGAAAGTCTGAGTAAAAGTTTTGCAGATCAGCTGTACTGCCTCAGTACTACTGTACTGCACTCTACTCTCCTATGTTCAGTATCATCCCTCTTGCAGCAGCAATAACAAGGGCATAAGGCCTTTTGGTTCTTTGTTGTTGGAATGGAAAGTCTGTGTATTAGGGGCTGATAAAATACACATCTAGCCCAAATACAGTTATAGCAAGAGAAATTGGTGCATCTAGCCCTCATTGCAGATAGAGGGGATTATTGAGCCTTGAAGCCTGACCCAGAAATTGTTCCTACTTCTCCTCACTTGTGGGAACAACACAGGCTATACTCTGTTCCCAAGTTCACTGCATCAGGATCCTCACTGCTCTGTCTCCTACCTTGCCATGCCTGCTCGGCTGCTTGGGATACTGCTTGTGATCAAGAACACTACATTGCAAGTGCCCACTATACCTGGACAAGGGGCTAAGAAGAGGGTGCCTCTCTCCTTGTCTCTCCCCATGAGGCAGATACTGTGTGTTGGTCCTTACAGGAGACCAACAGAGGTACAGGGCCCATAGAGGATGGGGAACAGGGAAAATGAACAAGTGATGGTGACAGCTTCAAGTTTAGACTCTCTTGCCTTCCCATCCTTGGTGCTCTTCAGGAGCATATGGCACCAACAGTTTTGTGTCTGCTGCCTGGAGCCTTCATCAGAGCTATCACCATCAGGGTATCCCTCTTGCCTTGCTCATTACACCTCTGCCTGGATGGAAGGACCCCTGCTGAGAAGTATTATTTAAAGTTTGCACCCAACATTGAAGCCTGAATAATCAGCAGAAGCCCCATATTGTTCACAGTGACTGGGGAAAGGAAAATTTCGCAGTGAAGATGAAAATCTATGCCTTACTCATGCAAGTTGCAGATGACAACTGCAAATCTATGAGAGAAATATCAGCAATATTTGTTGAAGCCTATCTCTGTTTTTCATCTTGGTAATACTAAATATAAAACGTATAAACAACTTAAGAAGGAACTGTGACCTGGAGCTCTTGTCTGAACACCACAGCTGCTGGCTGTGATGCAGCACATACAGCCTCCTTTGACACTGTGTGGTCCAGCTTTTGCGCAGTGTTAGTGCGTGCTCCGTTCCCAGCCTGTTCCAGAGGAAGACAGCAAGGTCTAGCCAGCTCCGTGAAGATACAGGCCTAGACCCCATCAGGCTGAAAGGCAACCTCTGCATTTCTGGCAAGTGCTCTGCCCTTACGCTGTTCCACCAGGTGTGTCCAACCCCACCTATGCTTCAAAAAGACAGCATCAGGAAGGATTTTATAATGGCAGCACCTAAATCCCGACGTGCTGGCAGGTCCAAAACCCTCAGGGCACAGCCTGCTCGGGTGCGGGTTCCCCTCTCCCTCACCACCACCCTCTCCATCGCTGTGTACCCGGGCCTGAGCTCCGCTGTGCGCGAGGCGAGGCGGGCGGAGGGATGGAGAGGGAAGGAGCCCGGGCCTCCTCCTGCCGGGGCCACCCGTCCCGCCGGGCCCCTCCAGGGCCTCTCCCGAGTCCTCCCCGGCCCGGCACTGCCCGCCGTGCCCCTCGGGCCGGCCGGCGCATGCGCGGTGCGGTCGCCGCGCGGTGGCTCCTGCAGGGACGCGGCCGCCGCCGCCTCCCGGGGCCGGCGCCGCAACGTGTTGCGCTCCGCAGCCCCGCATGGGCTGTGCTCTGCCTCTGCCTCTGCTCTGCCTCTGCCTCTGCTCTGCCTCTGCCGCACCGCCTGCGCGGCCGCGGCGCTCCCGGCTGCCCTGCTGCGGCCGCGCCCGGCGCCGCAGGCTCCGGCTGCTCGCTTTGATGCCTTAAAGGACCTCTGCAGTTCATTCCGGGCTGCTCTCGCCGCCTCCTCCTCCTTCTCCTCCCCGCAGGCGCTGCGAGCCCCTTCATGAACTGCTCCGCACGTTACCGCCGATCGGTGCAGGCGGGCATTTCCGTGCGAGCGCCAGCCGCCCGCTGCTGTAGCCAGCATCAGCACGTCATCCGCCTCCCGCTCCGCACCCGGGGCGATTTTATTACTTCTGGAGGTGCAGGGACATTTTTTCGGCAATAAGGTCCAGTGTAACTTTATTTGCGGCTTCCGCTGTTCTGTACCAGCCATCGGTTTCGCTCAACATCCTCTGGGAGCCGAGGGAACCGAAGTTGCCAGGTAAATGCCCCCTCCTTGTCTGCAGCACTTAGGGAGGCGGCTTCGGTCTGCCTGGTTGCATGGCTGCGGCGCCGCTGTTGTATAGCGCGGGCTGCGAAGCGGAGGCAGCGTTTAAATGGCACAGCTGTCATCGGGCAGCTCGTGTCGCCCGCCTCTCATGACACGTCCCCGCAGAGCTGCGGGGAGCGGAGGCTGCCGTGCCCTGCACAGCTGCCGCCGCCGGGTCCCCCCGGCCCGCCCGCCCCGCGCTGCCCGGCCGGGGAAGCGCTCGGTGCCGCTGCGGCAGCGCAGCCCGGCCGGGCCCCGCCGTCACCGCTGTCGGTGTTGTCCCCGCAGGCCGGGCGGGCGCCGCCCGCAGCCAGCCCGTCCCCGGGGAGGCCCGGCGGCGTGAGGCCGCCCGCCGCCGCTGCTTATGCAACACATCATCGATAACCACCCCGACATGGCCACGGCGCTGCTGGCGGGCGAGAAGCTGAAGGAGCTCATCCTGCCGGGGCAGCAGGATGACAAGGCGGGCGCGCTGGCGGCTCTGCTCCTCCAGCTGAAGCTGGAGCTGCCCTTCGACCGCGTGGTCACCATCGGGACCGTCCTCATCCCCATCCTCCTCGTCACCCTCGTCTTCACCAAGAACTTCGCGGGTAAGGGCGGCAGGACGGGCAGGGCCATGCCCCAGTGGTTGCTGAGCGGGACCATTGGTGCTGAGAGGTGTCTGACAACCCTCGCCTGGGCGGGCGGGGACCGCGGCAGGGCGGCAGCAGCCACTGCCTGAGAGCCACCTGTGCCCAGGACGCGGCCACTGCCCCTCGCCTTGGCGGGCAGGGCAGCGGCGTCGTGGTGGCCGCTCCCTGACGGGGCAGTTGCTGCCTCTCGCCTTGGCGGGGTGGCGAGCGGTGGGGAGGGGTCCCCAGCCACCCTCCGGGGCACTGACCTGCAGGGAGGTGTCTGCTGCCCTGAAAGAGCTGAGAGCCAGCGTGGGTGACACAGGGTGCGGGTTAATGCTCCTTGAGGTGGATCCTGAGCAGGTCCTGAGCTGGACCCTGGCTGGCGTCAAGCATTGTCCTGATGTTACTTCAGACGTGTACAAGATGAGTGTTAACTGGCCTGCTAAGGAGAGGCCGATACTGTATATGGAGCCACATGCACAGTGTGCTTTGCCATATTGTCACAGTGGAAATCACCTGTGTCTCTTTCTCTTGAAGGCCTGTATCTGGCATACACCCAGTAACAATTTTAAAAGCCTGGTTTGATTGGTGTCACCACCAGTCTTGGAAGGTCACATTTTGATGAGCCTTGAAAATTACTGATCCGGTAAACTGTTAAGACACCTTTTGTGCCATATGTAAACATTGTTTTGCTTTGTGAAGTATAGGCTTGGTGAGTGCAGCTGCCAGTGCATGACTGCTTTTAATGTCCCTTAAAGCTCCATACTGAAGATCTGTGGGAAATTATTAGCATTTTAATATACGGGACAGACCTGGCAGTCTGTACCTTGTGAGGTTAGTGAGAATTGGCTACTTTGGGATTGACTTTCAGCACTTATATCCCTAATACTTGTTTTCATTATGAGAAAAAGGTAAATCACCTAGAAGAATAACTGCTTGCAAATGAAGTCTGGAGATTTTTCTTAAATATAGTTAAAACTTTTTCAATCTCCCTCAGTTTTTTTCTTAAAAATACAGTTATTTAGATCAAGATTTAGATCAGCCACAGTTAATAAGAGCTTGTTTTTTGGATGGTAGTCTGGGGGTATCTTGGAGAAACCAAGTTTACAGGGCACGTTAAAACCAACTCTTCATAGCAACTGAAAGACAGAATTCAAGGTCACCTTTGGGGACTCTGTGGAATGCAAAAGTTTTGTGATCCTTTCCTCTGTAGAGAAGTAAGCTAATAGAGTGCATCCTTAGTTATATACATGCTTTCATATTGTTTGAGATGTACAGTTTTGAACCTCAGTAGGCCTAAACTTAACCTTGGGTGCAGGCAAGGTCATGCCCCCCTTCATGTGTGTTCCTTTACATAGTGCTTCCTAGCAGAAGGCCTTTGATGACTCACTGCTGCTTCAGACAGCAGTAACTTGCTCCATATGAACAAGTCATCTGAGACTGCAGATTGTGGAGGAAGTATCAAGTCTAAGAGACTCACATTTATACAGTGAATGTCCCTCTGCAAGGCTAAACTATGGTCCCCATACATACATGGAAGAAAGGGGGTCTACTGAATTTACTCACATCTGCCTATATTTCTGCAACTGAGTTTATTTTGTGATGTGGGAGACTATTCTCTAGGCTGACAGTTGTGTTCCAGATTTGTGTTTCAGAAGGGCTTAAGGCATTATCACTTATGGACTGTGTATTCTGCTTTGACCCAGTAAGAGCAGTAGCCTGTTGTGTCCTGCCAGGGCAAAGCTTATGAGGCATCACAGAAAACACCCTTATGTCTGTGGGAACATGTGGGGTAACATTCTTCCCTCATATGATGTCATGTGTTTGTTCAGATGGTCTGCAGTTAGAAAAATAATATGGGGAAAAAAGAAAAAATTACAAATACAAGAGAATGTAACATAAAAACTCTTAAGGGTCTGACAAAACTAAATAGATTCTTTTTTGGGGTTAGTAGATTCTGTTCTGCTTCCACAGAGTTCAAGAGCAAAACTTTTATTAGTTTAAATGTGATCTGAATCAGATGTTACTCTTTAACAGTATTTACTCGGACTTCTTTAGTAAGTCAAGCTTGTCCAGAGACACTGACACTGGAAATAACAGTTCAGCTGGATACATGCTTACCACTGATTCTGTAGTTTGTGTTTTTTACCCATGCACTGTCACCGATCTTGAAAAACATCTAATTTTGTTTGTTTACTTTGGATACTGCTCCTTATGTGCAATTTAAATAATAGGTATGGAAGTTCAAACTTTGCTGATAAAATCGAGTAAGGTACCTACTGCCCCTTTGCTGTGAATATCGTAGCAGCTTCCCAAACTTTGTTTTGGGCACTTGTGTACTTATCAGATACTTGTTATTATTCCTTATTCTGTTAATGATACCATTAGGAAGATGCCATCATGCCACTAAACTGAAAACAACCCCCTTTTCCAGGGGCTATACCATCCTATTTAATCAGTATTGGTAAAACTTTTGGAACAATGGTGTGTACACTCAAGACATAAAAGTGTAGTTGTCTAAAAGCAGTGGTTTCTCACAAAACTTTTTTGCTGAGCATTGAAAGAACGTGCATGATGAGTGGGTAGAGGAGATAAGAACCTGTTATCTCTCTGATCTGCCTTTGAGCTTATGTCAGTGAAAAGTGTAGCTTAAAGCACAGTTAAGAGCAACTGTACAGTCTGTGCAACAGGTGTAGTGGGAGTTGCTTGGCTGAGCAGTGTGGGTGTCCTCCCCTGGGGTTGTGCAGAAGGCACCCCATCATCACAGGAAGCCTGGGCACCCCAGGGCACCAGTAAGTCTTCTGGCGCCAGAGGCTGCAGTGAAGCACGTTTGAAAGCAGAGTTCAGCCCCATGACAGAGGACAAAGAAAGAGCGTGTTGTTGATTTCAAAGATTGTAATTAACAGCCTTAAAAATCATTATGTCTGTAGTATAATATGTTATATAGTGTATTTTGCCTGTGGCCAGTGATAAAGTTATTTAGTTAATTTTGTTGTTTTAGTGCAATCATAGTTTAGGTAAATGCATTGTTTAGCAGATACTATGCTGATGTTTTGAATAAATCACAATCCATCTGAACTTAATGCATTACAAAAGACTTTAAATTAGGTATTGTGCTTTCTTCTATTACATGTATCATAAAATCATAGAGTGGTTTGGGTTAAAAGGGTCGTTAAAGGTCATCTAGTCCAACTCCCTGCCATGGGCATGGACACCTTCCACTAGACTAGGTTGCTCAAAACCGTGTCCAAGCTGGCCTTGAACAGTTCCAGGAAAGGGACATCCACAACTTCTCTGGACAGTCTATTCCAGTGCTTCCGCACCCTCACAGTAAAGAAAGAATTTCTTCCTTGAGGCCAATCTAAAGCTATCCTCTTCCACTTTAAAACCATTGCCCTGTCAATACAGGCCCTGCTAAAAAGTCTGTCTTAAAAGCCCCCTTTAAGTACTGCAAGGCTGCAATAAGATCTTCCTGGAACCTTCTTCTCTGGGCTGAACAACTTCTCAGCCTGCCACTGAAGTACTAACAGATCTAACAGATCTTTCCTGTGCAGAGGGCCCCAGAGCTGGATGCAGGACTGCAGGTGGGGTCTCACGAGAAGAGAGTAGAGGACCTCTTGACCTACTGTACATGCTCCATGTTATACAACCCTGGATGCTTGGTGTCCTTATAGTCTTACTCAAGGTTAAAAAAGGGCTGTCATCCTTAGTTGGCTTTAGCTCTATAAATGAATCTGTAACATAACCAAATTTTATTGGGAGATAAGATTTTGTTTCCAAACTTCACTTCTGGATGGCAATGCATTTGGGGTACAGTTGAGCTCTCTGCAGAGTGAAGGGCATACACACTTCTAGGATATGCTCCTGAGAGTTAAATTCAGGCTGCAAAGGAAGTGGTAAGAGTTTGACTGTTTATTTTAATTGGGAGAGGAGTTCACTCTGATGGCTTAAGTAGCATATGATTCTTGCACTGGCCCCTACTTCCTAAACTTTTTTCATAAGAAGAAAGAAAGTCACTCCTACATTGTTATTTCTGACTCTCTCAATTCTCCTTTAACATTTTTCAAGCAAACCAGTGTGATTCCAGAAAGGACACCCCTAGAAAGTTAATTAAAATAAATTCATGTGCCATATTTATACTGGGCATAAGATCATCATGAGATCATAATTTTGAAGCAATATTCAGCTGCCCAACACAAAGAAAGCCCACACAGGCATGCACAAGAGAAGAATGAATATTGTTTCCTTTTCTAGAACTCACCTGTGAACAGACTTTATATAAAAATAGCACATTCTCTGTTTAGGGGCCAGTGTATGTTGACCTCAAGGATAATAAGGAAAGTTTTTGAGGCATTTTTCTCTGACCCAGTGGATGGATCTGTATTTGAGTTTCCTGATTTCCTGGAGCTGGTGACTACAGAAGGCAGCATAGGCTAAGGGAAACCTCTCCTGTAGCAATGTCCTTGTTGAGATAACAGTGTGTGCAGTTGGTGGTCCCAAGGGAACTTTGGTTTGCTCTGTTTTTGTTTGGAAATAAAATTGCTTTAAAGATAGCAACTTTTTTATTTAGATATGAGTGCCAATATGTTTGAAATTCTGTCAGAACAGTGACATGACCCCCATCACACCCTATATAGCCTTAGGCATCTGCTGGAGCACTCATGCAGATGTATATGCAGTGCTTTGCAAAGGTGCATGCTTTTATTTGACTCTGTGAAGGTTTGATTTCTCATACCTAAGTTTTCATTTCCTAGCAGCTTGAGCACTTAGTTATTCCTGTGCAAGCTAGAAGTAAAATGCAACCAATGTGAATGGAGAGTTCAGGTTTGATAATACTGTGCTGTCCCAGTGCACAAATATACTTTATTATTTATTTATTATACTAGGTACTAGCTGGTGGTGAAGCAAATTTTGAACCTGTAAGTATAGGTTGTCACTTTTGTCTTTTCACATTAGCTGCATTGGAGCCTCCCAGATTGTTCCCTTTCCTACAATAAAGGTTTTGAGGTTCTTTTTATTTAAAGTGTTTCCTTGTTAACAGAAGCCAACCTTTGGTTAATATTTGGTGAAAAAAATGGTAAACCACCAAACTTTTAATTAAACGTTAGCAGGTAAGGATCTCAATTATGTAGTTATAGTCCACCTACAGTTTGTGTTGGTTTTCGGCAGTTGTTTTTAGTTATGATGTTTCAGTATCTCCTGTCAAGACGTGGTCAGTCTGGAGTGGTATGGATCTAGATAAAAAGAGATTAGTCCTTTAAAACACTGCCTTACCCTTTTCACTTACATTCCAAAATGCACAGAATGTGGAGTATTAGACAGCAACATTCATTGCCAGTTTGAAGTGGGTCTGTTAGATGTGCCATGAGTTTTTCATCCTTTACTCTCCCTTTTTTTACCATGGTACTAGTATGCAGAAGCCACAACTACAAGTAGGATGCTGCTGGGTCAACAAGTGCTGTGTTCTGTTCCTCCCTGACTGGCGACAGTGCTACAGGTGGCAACCTTTTGTAGTGAAGTGTCTCATGGTATTTGCTGAACTTCCAAGAAGTAGAACTTCCACTGTTCTACAATCCAGTAGATTAAGAGATACTTGACTGATGATGTGCTGCTTAGTTTGTTTGTATCACTTAGTGTTTTAGTGAGTTGTTTAAATATTCCAGTTCAGTGCTGTGACAGGTTCAGAAACAACGCCTCAATAATGTCTGTGGGAAGTTCTTCGTGCAAGGGACTAGAGAGTGGTGGCCCCTAAAGGAGAATGCATTGCTGGTTTTCTTATGTATTATCTCAACAGTACTGAAGTATTTTGGTTTCCAAACTGATGTGGTCGAAGCATTGCTAAGTCATATCCCTCTTGTACAGTGCCTCATGCTTTCTATTTACAGTGAATTTTTCTTTCCATGTTGCAGTCATGTTTGCTTTTCTCTCAGAAACTGTTACCAGTACTTTATTAAAATAAAGCAAAGCAATCATCTAGTTGATTTTTATACTTTGGTCAAAAGCCAAGCTGTGGCACTGATTTCCATGGTAGGTTTATAAAACTGTGCCTACAAAATACAAAAAAAGTTGCTCAAAAATACTGTATTTCTATGTCTCTTAGCAGCTCAGCCCTCTGCCATCCTTCTGCTAAAAAATTTTCATGAGAAAGCAGTGGAAAGAGACAGTAAGTTAAATGACTGAAGGGTCAGTTCAAGTTTTGTGGTTTATTTTCTGTTTTGTAATGATTTACATAAGCAATGCTTACTTCACTGTGTAATACAGTACATGCATGAGTTCAGTATATTCTTTGCTTTTCACACTGTAGTGTGGTTGAAATGGTGTATGCTGCAGATTTCTGTATTATGAGATGGAGTTCTATTTTGTGATTTTGGTTAGCTTTTCTAATTTGTATTTCTGTTTCAAGTTGTGGCAGGATATTTACATAAACTTACTTAAGTGACTTATCGAATAGATGACTTTTGGTCTTGTTTTCCATTTTTTCTCTTTAACTGCACTTAAAGCCACATACAGTAAGAAAGTAAAGACGATGTTTTTCCAAGTGATTATTCTTAGTGCTTAGAGTACAGGGCCAGAATGTTTTGTGTAGCTGATGACACTAGTGCAGAAACTGTTTCTGAGGCAATACTAGCAGAGAAAAGAGAATTTGAGGAGTGTCTCATTACTTTAAGTGCTTTCTAAGTGCTTATTTTTAAAAAGGATTAAATGATACAAGCATGGGCTGGCTGCAGTTCAACTGCTGGCTGTTTGCATTGCTGATGGGACTTTTCCCAAAGAGTAAAGGCAGTTTACTCACATACAAACACAAGGTGTGCACAAGATATACATGCTGTGACTCTGTGAGTTCTGATAATTTAAATATTTGCAGTTACGCAGGTGAATGGTAAATAGAAAGTATTCTTGAGGAAATGCATGAACCATACATGTGTAATCACTGCACTGCAGTTCCTAGCAACTACAAGTATTTTCCTGTCATTAATTCCATTTCTCAAACTTCATCAACATACATACATCATGTTTTATTATATGGTCTTTAAAGACCCTGTTTGTACTACTAACCCCTTCATTTTTTCAAGCGTCATGTATGTGAAGGGGTCCAAAATGTGGATGAGTTCTATCTTACTACATCAACAATTATAACCAACAATTCGAACAGATGGTCAAAAATATTTTTGTTTAAGAGCTACTTAATTTATTCAGCTATTGTCAAGGAGGAAAATTAATGAATAAATAACGGTAAAGTTGAGTTGTTTTTTAAAGCTACCCTGAAGTGTTTGAGGCTCTCTGTTGTCTCTAAACCAGACAGAAATCATGCATCCATGATAAAGAGGAAATCTCAGCGTGTGTGGTTTCTTAGAGCTGTAAAACTCTTCAAGAAGAATCTGCATAGTCACTGAGTTACTTGGGTTCTGTCAGTATTAAAAATAACTGCAGTAGGCACCCTCAGTAGGTATACACGTTTAATTACAAAAGCAGAATAATTTCGCAGTAGGCTGGCACAATTTGAGTAGAGGTGCCGTTTGTTTCACCTGATACAGGATTTGTTCTAAGAAAAACATTGAATTCAGTGCAGATATTTTATATCATTGGGGGTTTGTCCCAGGCATGTATTATACTCTTGCATTTGAGCTGGGAAATGCAGTAGTTCATTATGATAGCAAGGTTTGGGGATTTGTTTGCTTTTCTTCAGTGGCACCGTGCCTGTCATGCAGATTCACAGTTGCTGGAGCAGTGCTGCAGCCGGGTGCTGAGATGGTGTTTTTTGCAGCTTAGAGCTCAGAGACTATTTCTGGAGCATTTTGGTTAAATGCTGAAGTAGTTATTTCACATTTTGAGGTTGAGGTTCCTTATCTTCTGCAAGATCCGTATCTCTTCAGGAGGTCAGGAGACCTCCACACTGGAACTGGCAGAGCCCCTGGGAGCAGCCAATTCTCCTGGCTCTGCTGTGATGAATCAAAACAGTTGGGATACATTACAAAACCCAATTTCTCTACACATGAAGGAACCAGTTTTCCAAAAACAGTAGACTGGCCATCTCTGCCCTATAAATACTATGTTATTAAAATAATATTATTACCTAATGAGCAAACTATTGGTCTTTTTCTTCTTTCTCAATATGAAGTTTTCCAGGTGCTGTGTTTATGCCAAGAGATACTTAATACAAGCCATCTTTTTAATTTCTAGTCATTAAATAACTGTAGTGCAATAGACCAAGCCTACTGTTTCCTGTTGCTTCCTGTGGTTGTATTTGGCACTTGACCCTTGATTTAGGAAGCCACCCTTTTTTATGTATCATCAGTTTCACTGGATTTTCATAATTCATTTCACTTTGGCATTTATTCTTGCAGTTTACTTTGGGTATTTCTGTAGTCCACATTATCATAATGTCTGGGTGCTTGTGTAGTTGCTTTGGAGTTCCATCTGTAGAGGACAATTTTTGAATTCCCCAACATTTTTTTTTTAATCTTTGCAAAACATTAAAATGTTATTTTCACACCTTACCACTTCTATGCAGAAGATCTGTACATCACCAAAATTCCACTCACCTCCTCATGTAAATGCTAAATTTAGAAGTAAATGTTATTCAGATCTCTTTTGTAGGACTGCCTGCATGGCTGAATTTCATTAATTATGTTTTGATGAATATATTCCTTTAGATTCAGAGCTAACCTTCCCTCAAATCTTGGCATAATACAGAGCTCTTTGTACAAACACAAACATTGTCATTTCCTTCCAGGTGTTTTCTTAGTGCTCACAGAGCTCTTTTGAGCACAGAAAGAAATGCTGCTAGTGAAGTTCAACAGTACAGTCACTATAAATAAGCTCTCTTTCCAGTGGTGTTACCACCATACTGCATGGCCATCACATGGTGGACGATAGGTCATCACTGAGGAAAGTTCCTCTACAGGAGCAGCCAAAGGGATTTGGCTTAGGTGCTTCTGCACCTTCTGCAAAACAGTTGCTGTTTCTGGAACAACCTTCTCCAACAGCCTTCAACATATCAGCCAAGTAGCAGTAGGTATCTTTTTCTCCTGACTAACCTGGGCAGGTATTACAAGTCTTTAAGCCTCAGATTGCTGATAAGGGAACTTGAGCATACCAGCTACTTTTAGAAGACCAAGTGTTTGTTACATATAGGGAATATAGTTCTGTAAATTTATATATACACTAGGGAAGTCTGCAGATCTAAAATATATGCAGTTCAAGCAACGGTCCTTCAAGGAAAAAAAAACAAATTGGAAATACAGGGACATTTGCTGTGGCCCTTGCACTGCAGTTACCCCTGTGGGTGACCCAATACTGATACATCTTTGAAACTGCTTGTTTACTTCTTACTCATTATGATTAATCCTTATAAAGTATAGGTCAGTAAAACTTAATAGGAGCAGTGGTTTCCTGTCTCATTTCTTTAGGGACTTTCTTTTCAAGATCTTTTTCTTAAACAGGACAAGTGGTTTCAGAGATTGGGCAAAAAAGGCTATACCTTACCTTGCTGATCATGGAGAAATTTGTACCTTAGGAAGACTTCATGGTCATGGAACCTGTATTCAGATTTGGAAGAAATACTCCCTCATATGCTAAAGGTATTGTCTTTTTGTTTTGATAAAAGTAATAATTCTTAGTAATTAGCTTGCTAAGTTAAGGCTTACTTTGATGGATGCTTTCTTATTCATATGACTAAACTTGGTGAGTTAAACATGACTACAGTTGATACACAAAAGTAATGTCAGGGATCCATCCCTGTGCTGTACTAATTTATAACCTTTAAATAAAGTTGTTGAAATAAACTATTAAAATTAAGGGAACTTTTCCTTTTGCTGTCAGTTAATTCGGGTATTAGCCAGCATTTGTTAAAATCACATTCAAGGCAGAGTTACATATTCCCTGTGGACTATGTAACTGAAATGGAAAACGAGTATACTGTTTAGATATGTTTTACCTTCTTAGAATACATTTGCAACCTTAGTAACATGAATTTTTTTATCCATTTTTTTTTCAGAGAGAAGAGGATCCAGGACATTTCTTCTTTTCCGTTTAAAAATTGCTGAGAAAGTGCTAAATAAATTATTTCTGTTTCTTAAAATAAACAGTTTGCTAGCTGCTTTCTTGTGCAATCCTTTTAGTACCCAAGATGAATGAGGCATGCATATAAGATTGCTTACATGTATGTGACACAAAGTAAGGACAGCAGTATGATAAGGAATACCCTTGTCAAATACTGGCATTTATTGCTGAATTCAGGGAGTTTCTAAATTATTTTGTTCATTAGAAACTTGTGTACTGGCAATAATGGGCAGGGAGATCCGGACATTCTACCTAAATGTTGAATTTCTCCTTAGAGACAAGTGGAGAGTACAAGGAGTGCTTCAGAGATCTTGACTGGATTGCTGTCTTTTCTTCATAAGCAGGTTTGGCACAGGTATGAGGATATTTAGCAGCCCTCTTCAAGAAGCAGGTGCCAGTTGCTAGGAAGCACTAGGCTAGGGTGAGTCTGTAGTGCATTTAACTCAATAAGTATACTTATCAATATACTTACCTTGATACTTAGCTTGAGTCTCCACTATGAGGGTTTAGGCACTTGTCACGGGGCTGGGAGACCCAGCCTATTCAGCAGCATTTAAGCACCAGTTCTGCTGCCTATACCCATGTAGGGCTACAGTGGTCAGGCTGAGTATTTACTTCTAGATCCTTGAAGAATTTTTTGCACAAGAGGCATACTTACCTTTGCCTTGGTGAAGCAAGCACGAGAATTTTCATATTTTTTTCATATTTGAATTACGTTTTCTGAAAACTGACTTTTTTTTTTCTGTCTGCTCTTAGAAAATTGTACTGTTTCTTCTACATTACTGATTTACTGCATTGGAATCCTGAAATCATGCAATTCAGTTGGAAGATTAATGAGGTGTGATTTCTTTTTCCAGAGTAAATTCTAAAAGCTAGAGGCCACAGGAGACATGCACAATTTGTTACTATGGTTTATATATTTCTTTGGGTAACTATACTTCATTCCAATGGGAATGCAGTAGGTGTAAAAAGTCGTTTGCCCTGTTACATAGGGGTGTATACTGTTTATTACTATTATTTTCTTTTCTTACTTTGTAATGCCTACCAAAGCAGCTACATTTGTTGTCCTTATTTATTTAAACAACTTTTGCTGAGAATAATATTTTAGAAGCTTGAAATTGACCCCACTACAGCATCAGTTCGCCAAAGAGGGATGCACATGCCAGATTTTATGCACTGTGAGTAATCCCATTGGCTTCAAAGGAAATGCCCAATTCTTGAAGTCACTTCAGTCTTTTTAGGAGCAGGTCTTACTTTTTATACTGTTGAATGCTAAGAGATTGCCATTGTTGTCTTTGTTTTTAAGGGGTTAGTGAATGTGTTAGGTGCGATTCACTCACTTTCCCAGGAAGACCTGTAAAAGCTTGCATAGCCAATGGAGAATGATACGTATCTACGGCTTCACCATGTTTTCTTGACAGCATCATTTCAGCGTACCATGACCCAGGTCACATTTTTTGCAAGGTGTTTCATGTTATGGATAGGCAAATATACACACACAAGTGCACACACACACACACACACGGCTTCCTTGTTAAATTGTGCTGCTGGTATCTCTTCCTTCGATTGAGGTGCAGTACTGAGGACTGAGCTCAGTGTATATCAGTGATAGCCTTCTAGCTGTATTTTACCTGATATGTTCCTAGTGCAACTGGCCATTGCTTTCATTTTTGGAAATGAATCAGCCATTCTTGCTAGACATGACTTAAAGGAAGTTCACGTTGAGGACAATCAAGCGTCAGAACAGGATGCACAGGCATCTTCCATCTTTGAAGGTTTTCAGACTGACAAAGCCTTAATCAAGCTAGTCTGAAATCAGTCTAGATCCTGCTTCGAATGGGATGTGGGACTGAGTAACTTCTGAGGTTCCCAGCAGCATTTCCACGATTCTACACTGGGGTATAACTTCAGGGAATGGTCTAGAATAGCAGTTATCAGATTTTTCCGTTGCTAACTCCGTTTCCAGATCTGAGTTTCATTTTTGTAGTGGGAAGTTTCACAGGAGTTTCAGCACCAAACTTCAGGATTCCATCCCTTTTCTTGAGGAATTCAGAGCTTGTGGTATTGTAACTTCATTTTGAAATTTAGCAGGATATTTTTTATCAAACATATTTTCATGCCTAGCTATTGCAGCCTGACAGCTGGTGTTTAATTCAGGACCTCTGGAAGAGGGCAGTTGAAGATGTACTAGAGTATAATAGTTGGGGAACCACTGAAAGGAGGTGGAAGACCTTGGATTGGCAACAGTAGGAGTGGGAGCCTGTGCCTGCAGGAAGCCCATAAGCATTTCTCAGAGACTTTTCTAAAAGGCAGCAGACTTGGCAGCTCCTAGCTTCCATAGTTTGCCTTCCCTCCTTCTTTTCATACTGTCTGTTTAGATTCTTTAGAAACAGTTTTTTGAGCACAGCCCCTTCCTTTGTCCCTCTCCCTACCTTGCCTATCTTCTCACAGCCGTGCATTTTCCTTCCCTTGAAGTATGCCCTTTGTACCTCCTGTAAGTAATTTTTTCTCATTTAAGTAGCACTTATGGGATGTGAAAAAACTTAGCTGCCAAGGGATTTTAATTTTTCAAGTGGCATAACATAATCAGTTATATTACACAAATAAGTAATTCTGCATCAATTATTTCATCTTGATTGCATGTCTGGAAAAATTCAGTGAGATATCTCTCATACCTTCTCTTAGAGACTAGTTTTGTGGATATTTGGAAGCTACTTATGAATATGCATAGGATGAACAGGATAAAATGTATTTATGTACAACTGTTAAAAACATCTAACATATTGAAAAAAGGGAAACTGAACATCTTAGTGTGCACTTTATGCTCAAGTCAGTATAAGATAAAAGTATAATATACTTCTTTAATAATTAATATACTTAATTATTCAAAGGGACATTTCCTGAGAATGATGGTGCCTTTAGGAAAGTATTACTGAAGACAGGACTTGTTCTTGGGTATTCCTACTGATTTTTTCTGAAACTGTGTTGCATGCAGTTAACACATTCCTGTGGGTGAACCTTCAGACTTGAACTTACCAAGACTTTACTCTAAGCATTAGAACTAAAAATTTTGCACTAAGCCATCACATTTACTGCAGAAAAGTTTAGTATTCCATCCACCAATAACAATGGCAGCTTAGTTATTTTTATTTTGCCTTTGCTAGAAATGCACATATCGGCAAATCACAGCTTCATATCCACCCTTAACCACCTTTTCCTAATTGTTTGGAACTGGCAAAATATTTTTTTGGAGATGATGACCTTGCTTTCTGGATTATTTAATAGGAATTTCTGTCCCTTGAGCTCATAGGAATGTAGCTCTCAAGGAGCAGAGAAATAGATTATTTTTATAGGCTTTAGACTAAACAACATTGAGAGGATGACCAATCCACTCAGCCATACTAATGCTCCCTAAGCTTTTAAAAAATTTTCTTTACAGCACCTTACTCTACTGTATTTTCCTACACAATTGAACAGCTATGCCATATGCAATTCAACTGCAGAGTCTCAGGAAAAAGCTGTGTTCCATGGTGACTGGAATGGTTATATGAAAAAGAAGCTTCCTAAACTGCTTGAGGATTTTCAGTGTGAAATAAGAGTATCAGTTGAAACTTTCTATATTTATGAATATAGAGTTGAAAACAAATACATTTTTTAATAGTGCATGATCCAGTGTCAGAGCTGTGATTTTAACAGTCTTGCAGCCTTTTCTTTTTAATGCTATTTACCTATTAGGAGAACACTGTTAAAAAAAAAATTGATCTGCTGAAGAGAGAAACAGGTCTTCCTCCAGGCAACACCTAAATGGGTCTTTTGCTTTGAATCAGTTTGGAAAGGAATTCGTCTTTTGCATTGTCTGGACCATATATTAGGAGAGCTTCTGGACCATATTCTAGGAGAGCTTCCTGAAGCTAATGCTATGCTTTGTAAATCAAGTCCTATACTGAGAGAGTTAAGCTAAATGTCCCTGTGGGATAACTTTACCAAAATTAGTGGCATTCTCTGACAGTGCATATGGCTCCAAGATATTGCCAAGAAAGGTTGTGGCTACCACATCCCTGGAAACGTTCACAAGGCTGGCTGGCTGGGGCTTGGAGCAGCCTGGTCTAGTGGAAGGTATCCCTTGGGACTAGATGATCTATAAGGTCCCTTCCAACCTAAACCATTCTGTGATTCTATATTAGAAAAAAAACACTTGAATAAAATTAAATTGTAACCCCACTGTTCCTACTTTGATCAGTTACCAGAAGTCCCCCTGACTCCACAGAGGATTTGGGTTTCATCTGAAGGGTCTTGGGATTTACTGGTGTACAGTGAAAATCATGTCAATTTTACAAATGCGCAACGAAAATTCTAGACTAGTATCAACAAGTTACAGAATGGGACACCATGCTCAATTGGCCCAATAGAGATCTTTCACAACTTAACGTGCAATGGGATCAGATAAAAACATACTTAACAGAGAAAAAGGAAACAAACTCCTGTAAAATGACATTTGCTATCTCTACTGGTTGGGACAGCCCCATTTAGTAGCCTGTAATGCAGTTTGTCAGTCCCAACTGGAGTTGTGAAGTTCTTCAGACTTTTTTCTCTGAAGCAGTGGCAATGGATAGGGAGCAGCATTAGTCTCTTAGTGTATCTGTCCAACGTAAATGTAAATGTTAAGACATTTTAACTTTTTTCCTTTTTTGTTTATAAAATAAATATATCTTGAATTGTTGTATAAATATACAATTTTAGCAAAAGTCACTTTAGCTTTCAGGTCTCAGTGAACAGAACTGGAAGAACTGTTCAGTTTATTTGACAGTAGCAACTGATACATGAATCAAAAAATAATCCTTATGAATGATTTGTATGAATGCTCGTTGCTGTTTTCCAAAGTATTTGCGATGTTGAGACCGAGGAGAAATCAATCCATGTATGCCACAGGAAACTGTGTTTCATATTGGCAAGTTCTATTGAGCTTAGGGACACCCAATTAAAAAAATTCTGCTTATGAGAAACGTAGCATGCTGCTTTGCCTTTTTTATTTCCCCATGGGAACATTTTCACATAGGAATCTATTTCATCTCCTGGGAAATCCCAGAATAAATCTTTGATAGTAGGAGATGACATTTTTTGTATGCATCCCTTCATGGGTAGGGTTCGGAGGGCATGTAAATTACTGAAATCAAGGGACTCAGTGAGCATTTTTCTTGTAACACATCTGTGAGTACACAAGATAGTCTAAATGAGAAGCTGTGTAACTTTAGAGTGCTTTAAGCTCTCCTCTGAGATTGAACTTAGCTCATTTTAAAATAGTCTTCAGAAGTGACATTAAAGAATTTGCAGGGCTTATTCAGTGTACATGCTGTCTTGGGTAGCAGCATTTATTCTATCAACTCTGTTTAAACTGGTAGTATTTTTAGAAAAGAATTCTCATGAATCACTTCAAAAAAAAAAACAACACAATTTTTGTGCAGTTATCAGTATGTAGATCTCTGTGGGTCACAGAAGAGGTTTATACCTCCACACCAAAGAACTAGCTTTTGATTTCCTCACATGTGAAAAGTAACTGGTCCAATAAGGAGCCATCTGTTAAGCCAGAAAGATTAGGATTTTTTGCTTGTCTATTAATTTTTAATATTCTATTTATTGTTTTCAAACAACATGATACTGTATTATTTCTTTTTATTATTTTTATTATTAAGAGAACAGTGCCACCACTCTCTTCCAGTAAGCTGTTCTTGATCTGAACTGTAGACTGCATTCAGAACTGGAACAGTTCTTGAGTGATTTTCAAGTCAGGAGAACATACCTTCTCCCTATGGGTCTCATTTTGGGAGGTTTTTTTAAAGGTGTACCAGAATACTGTAAAATATATTCCCTTTGTTCTACCAGTCAAAACATGAAAACATGGCCTTCCTCTTTGAATAGGTCATAATGGTCATTGTTCTTTGGGCAGTTAATGCTGCTCTAGCTTTCACAAGGTTTTCTATCTTTCTTTCATGTATTGCTAGAAAAATCTGATTGTGTAAGAACATAATTTATCTACCAGGTCAAGACAAAAGTCCTTTTATCCCAACATCCTGCTGATGATGGTAAAAAACAAATACTTAGCAAGAAGGGTAAAATAAACAAGCATACAGTGTAATTTTCTTTGATAAACCCTTCCACCCTCCAGCAGCCTGTGATTAAACATTTCCTGAGGGAAAAATTGCATCACTGGGTATTTAATAATCCTTGCTATACATTTTCTCCCATTACTTTGTCTGTTTGCTTTCTTGATCCACAGTATTTGTTTCTTCTATAATAATGTATGACAGTGAGTTCCACTGTTTAATTACATGTTGTGTAAAAAAACCAATGTTACAGTTTCTAATGTGCAATTAAATTTTCAGAGCAAGAAATTGGTAACACACCAGATTCTGTCCTGATCAATCACAGTTTAATTCAAGAATGTTACCTAAGAGGGATACAGTTGACTAAATCTTTGTTGTAAATTTCTTTTTTTTTTTACCATATCAAATGAGTAGACTTTGTTAGTAAGTATTAAAAAAATTGCTTTCAGCTAAATCTAACTTTTTCCTATTTAGAAGAATATTTAGCTGGGATGAACCTTAAATTTCATCTAAATTTCAGCATTTGCATGGAACGTCCTTAGCTACTGATCATGTAGTGAATATCAGGTCTTTTAGCTTTGCAGAGTTCGGGTCACAGTTGGTTAGGATATTGTTTTCAGAGATGTAATTAAACCAAAAGATGTATTTCTTGCTGATATTTTTAGCTCAGGTACATTTTAAAACTTCCAGGTAAAAAGTTTTGCCTTAGGGTTTATGAGGATGTGTGCAGGCCAAGCTGGCTGATAGACATGGAGGGCTTAATGGTCATGTGAAGATACAGTAAAATAAAATTTATATAATTTGAAATGTTTATTTTCCAGAGCTCCTTTTGTAGGTTAAATGCACAGCAGTGACTTTTCTCTCTGTTATACAGAGGAGCCAATATACTGTTATACACCACACAACTTCACCCGCGATCAAGCCTTGTATGCCAGAGGATATTGTTGGACAGAATTAAAAGATGCCTTGCCAGGAGTTGATGCCAACCACTGGCCCTCCTTGTTTGAGCATAAGTTCCTACCTTATGCACTACTGGCTTTTGCTGGGATAATGTACATTCCAGCTCTGGGTTGGGAATTTCTCGCCTCCACCCGGCTGACTTCAGAGCTCAATTTTTTGCTTCAGGAGATTGATAACTGCTACCACCGTGCAGCTGAAGGGCGGGCACCAAAAATAGAGAAACAGATTCAGTCTAAAGGCCCAGGGATCACCGAGAGAGAAAAAAGGGAAATTATTGAGAATGCAGAGAAGGAAAAAAGCCCTGAACAGAACTTGTTTGAGAAATACCTGGAAAGAAGAGGACGAAGTAACTTTTTAGCTAAGCTTTATCTTGCAAGACACCTGTTCATCATCTTTTTAAGCATCATACCAATCACATACTTATCTACCTACTATGCTACACAGAAGCAAAATGAATTTACATGTGCACTAGGAGAGCCTCCAGACAAAACTAGCAGCTCCAAATTGCACATCAGAGTGAACTGTAAGCTGCCGTCTGTGCAGCTCCAGCGGATTATTGCTGGTGTAGATATTGTTCTCCTCTGCTTCATGAACTTGATAATCCTCATCAATTTAATTCATCTCTTCATATTTCGCAAGTCTAACTTCATATTTGATAAACTGAACAAAGTTGGAATAAAGACCAAGAAACAGTGGCAGAAGTCCCAGTTTTGTGATATCAATATTTTGGCCATGTTTTGTAATGAAAATAGGGACCACATAAAATCATTGAACCGTCTGGATTTTATTACAAATGAGAGTGATCTGATGTATGACAATGTGGTACGCCAGCTGCTTGCAGCGTTGGCCCAGTCCAATCATGATGCCACTCCAACTATGCGTGATTCGGGGATCCAAACAATAGACCCAAGTGTTGATCCAGCAGACATTGATGCTAATGAACAGCTCATCATTAAGAGACCAAGGAAGAAGATGAAATGGATCCCAACTACCAATCCCCTTCCTCAGCCATTCAAGGAACAGTTAGCCATTATGAAGGTTGAAAACCATAAACCTGATAAACCGAAGCCTGTGCGGAGAAAAACAGCAACAGACAGCCTTATAGCTCCTTTGTTAGAGTCTGCTGCAAAAACCTCACAGCAATCGTCCACTCATAAAACCGAGCCAAGTGCTATGCCAAGCACAAGCAGCGAAAAAAAGCACACACGGCACTTTTCCTTGGATGTTCATCCGTATATACTTAGTAGCAAAAAACCCAAGCCAGAGGTTCAAGCCATCCCCTCGATGCCTACATCAAAAAGCCAAGAGGGTGGATTTTTAAACCAGGAAGAAAACGTTGTAGTGCACGTTACCTCCTCTCTCAAAGGTACAGTATGCCATAATGCCCATACCACCTCCACAGACCATAATTTGCATAGCAGTCATCAGGAACTCAAGATTTATCTGAACTATTTGACCTGCCTCATTAGATTTTGGGATAGTTAATCTCAGGGCTTATAGGTCTCAGAAATAGAGGTTCTCTCTCTTTAACAGCTATATGGAGGGTAAGGATTATTACAGTAGAGCTGTACAAAACAGGCTGCAGGCTGTTGATGTGGTTAGTTTTTTAAATGTAAGCATGACCACTACAAATGTGGTCATGCCTTGCCAAGGAAATGAGGAGCATTTGGCCTCCATGATACCCTTCATTCTCTACCAGCACCTGGCACGTTTCAAACATGCCTTATTTTCAAGTCATATGGAAACTTCCATGATAGATGAGCAGTACTCTGATCAGTAATAGCCCCTTAGGAGCATGTGGAACACTAGTAATGGCAATTAAAGCTGCCTGTAGAACAAAAAGCTCTTAACTACTAACTCTTACAGGTTGGTGTGTGTTTATCACCTAGGAAATCACAACTCAGCTCATTGACATTGTCCTTCACACAAGAGATGCTTTAAATTGTCCTGTGTCTCATGTGGACCAGAGGATGGATGGTCTGAAGTGTGGGTGCTGGTCAGGGATTCAGGATTTCTGCCATTCCCCTCCTGTGTGCCTCTCAGGAGATGCTCTTTCTGTGCCTCAGTTTCCTATGCGTTTCCTGGAAAGCCTGTCCCTGTCTTAACTCAAAGGAGTGTTTCAAATATATCAGTAATTGCTAGGTGCTAGAGTGATGAGGAAAGCCATTTGAACATTAGGAAAAGTGATAGATCAGTAGATAAACTGATAGACAGATATCTTCTTGTTTATTTTTGTAAGCTACTGACATAAGAAAGAAGCACTATGCAGTTGAAGTTACAGAAAAATTTGTACGTACTTAAAGCAATGGCTCTCATCTCATTACAAGCTAAGACCTCCCTCTGGGCTTCGACAGACTGACATCTACCGTCACCCCACTGCCCAGCAAAGAAGTGATTTGAGGTATAAAGTTTCTGTCACTTCCAAATCCCTATGCTCCTTAGAGCCCTCCAACTCCCCAATGTGCATGTGAGCTATTCTACAGCATTCCTTATCCAGTTACCTGCTCTGATTTCAACTCCTCAAAACTACTGGGGTTTTCTGGTCTCAATTACCTTCATTTAAATTAGTGCTTTAATATTTTAAGGGCAAGAAATAATTACAGGAGTTTTGGGGCTCTGTGACTCCACACTTGCATTTAAAAATTCAGCTTTGTTTTTGAGTTAGACCTACATTGCAGTCCATCAGGTAAGGTAGACTTATAATTTCTGGGAAGAGACATCAGTTAATGTCAAATTGCTGAGTTCTTTCTGAAGACAAGTGGCTTACAATGTGTAACCACTAGTTTTTCCCGTTGAAAGTACCAGTGCCTTTTGTATTCCATCCTGTGGATTTCAATAGTCATAACATTAAATCATAACATTTATAAAACACCAGCCGGATGTAGAGGGGAATAAAATATAGTTTTCAGTTGGTTTTTTTCATCATTTTACAAAAATATCATTTACATAAGAAAGCATGAGCATGCGTAAAAAACAGCCAGATTTACAAACCCCATTTGTTGTTTGTGCTGTTTCCCTGAACGTACAGCCCTGTTGGTTTGAAACAGTCCTGTTCGATTTCTCAAGGGGTCCCGTGAAAATTCAGCTCAGGGTCCACTTCTGATCCCACTGAAATCAGTGGCAAAACTGCCAGTGACTTTTATTGGTTCAGGACACTCCTGACTGATGGACTGGAAGGGTGAAAGACTACCTGTCCTTTAACTGGCTGTTTTGTTTTCTTTTAGACACCCCTCATCCTGCAAAAGAGATCCTGTACTCATCTGAGACATGTAGAACTGTGCCTGCTGCTGCAGCTTTTGTCACATGTAACCACAACCATATAGCCACAACTGCTGCTGCCACCAGTATGGCTTTGAACCAGGGCAAGCCAGAGCCAACACCTGCACTGAACTGCAACCCAGCCCACCCTTTGCTGCACATCAACACGCTGTACGAGGACCATGAGGAGGAGGTTTCAAACATAATGGACAATGGGATTCACTCACCGACTGACACCGGGGAGATTCTCTCCATCCCTACCCCAAAGCAGATAAGGTTGGCAACGTTTGACGAGCCAATGGCGATTGTGAGCTCGGTGGAGTACTGAAGGCCTCGGGCTGCCCCGCTGGCCCCTGTGGCTGGGCCTGAGACCACTACAGTGCAGAACATGGTCCCCCCAGCAATGCAACTCACTGCATGAGCATGGAGAGTTTTCGCACAGACTATAGCTTCTGCTGATAACACCAAACGGTTTTTCAAGATCACATCATGAGCACTGTCAGTTATTTGCGAAATAGAATAAAGAAATTCTGGTGGAAATAGACCTTTAACACTAAGACAACCACTAGCTCTAGCTCTAAACAATAGCTTCCTGATTTAAATGGGAATTAGCACAATTTATGAAGATTAGGAGTCTAATGGCTTGCCACAGCAATTTTAGTGAGTGTTTAAATCCTTTGCATTCAGAATTACTGATTGAAGTTAAAAGAACATGGAGGTGAGGTATACTTTTTTAATGGCAGCAGTTAAATAAGAGTTCTTTTCTAAGCAGAGAGGATTTTTTTTTAATTCAGGATTTTGAAAAAATTATATGCAAGCAAAATTTGTTTTTGTTTCTTTCTTTAGCTCACTGATGTTGGGCTTGATGGAGACTTAGCTGAAAGGGCCTTACTACCACCAGCATGTAAGTGCAAAAAGATTGATACACTCAATCTCTTGCATTTATAAATGAAAATACCTGAAGTATGCCCCGCCCTTTAACATGCTTATATGTTTGATGGAAGATGATTAAATTAAGAGTTTATTTTTTTAAATATATTTTACCATGGAAAAAATTACTTTATTAACTTTTCAAACCAGGTGTTACTTTTAACAAAATGTGTAGAAGAGAGTCATTGTAGCTGCTTATTTTTTCATAGTGTATTTATGAACCAGGTTAGAAACTTTCATGGGTGCTTCACTGATACGAAAAATCTTACGGAGTTCATTACAAAATATCTTACAAAATATGAAACCAGCAAACCTGTTTTCAAATAACACACAGTTAAAGATGTCTATGAATTTAGTTCTGCAGATTTGGCTAGTCCTTGATTCAGCAAACACTCAAGGCCATGGGTGACACTGAAATGACTCATGTCTAAATCTAAGCACACACTGAAATGGCTTTGCTGGATCTGGGCTCTAGTGCAGGCAGACGATAATCCTGTGGTATGTGCTATCACTCTGATTCAATATTTGCCATCCTTGGCTCAAAGCACATCTTCATGCCCATCTTCCTATAATTACGGTATGTGTGATTTAATAGAAAACTATAGTATAACTAAAACATCTATTAAAAGTGTATCATGCAATAACCATTCTCAGCAAAATTATAGTGAAACAAAAAGTGACTGTGTTAAAATAATATTCCTAGCTGCATTCGGAATTACAGACTGTGTGTGTTTGCTTCAAAATTATGTATAATGGTAGAAAAAAATATGCAGCACAAATATGGGACTGAAATCTTGAGTTTATTTTTAATTTATTACCTCAGACATGCATATATTATACCAATATTTAATGAAAATAGCACTGAAAATAAATACCTATTATTCTGAATATTTTAATGTGTACTACTTCCTAGTGTAGTGATACAACACATCTCTAAAGCAGGGTAACCGAGGTTCTTGTCAATAGATCCTAGGGGTGGATTAGAGTGACGTGACACTGAATGACCTGTGTATACATATGAGGCAGGTTTATTTTAAAACAATTTGGTTGCAACAGAAAGGAGCTATGTAGCCATTTTGGTTCTTTTTCTATAAAATTATAAAATTATGACGAAGAAAAGATATAAGAAGAAAGAGAAGGCAAGAACAAGAATAGATAGTGAAGAGGAAAGATGTCACCACCCATGGATCCAGCAATGAGACTTGATCAGTGCCATTTCAATGTCTGTGTCAGAGTCATCATGGCAGTCTTGATCCGTTGGGGTCAGGACCCACACAACAAAGAGTTGGATGGCTTATATACTTTCAGGTTCATGTGGGAATGCCCCAGTAATTCCCCAGGGGAGGGGTTTTCTTCAGGGATCTTTGATGGTTTGCGGCCCCTTCTAATGACATGGCCACTGTTTGGCCCTTCTACTAAGTGTTCCAGTTGTGCCTCCTTCCTTAGGGAGGAATACTTTCAGACTGGCATGTGAATGCCCCCGATTATCTCCCCTGGGAGGGAGTTTTACACTGTCAGCCTTATCGGGAGAGGGGAAATTGGCATGATAAGAAGCATTGCCCCTCCTCCACAGGATCTGCTTCTTATCAACCTTTTCCCTTATGTGGCAGGAAAACACTTTGTTTAAAACATCAGTCCTGGTTTATCAGGGAAATAATAGCAGGGCTCAACCAGCCCATCCAAACAAATTTCTGTCCATCACACTTAGTTATATACAACTGGGATTTTATGATAAGCAGTATGCAGGACATGTGATTCATATTATGTAAAGCCACCATTCTCCCTTACATCAGTTGTGCCCAGCCTTTTTGGCCTGAACAGCCCAATACCAAAACAGCAGCAAGGCACAGGATGTGTGCTGCAGACAGGGAAGGGGAGTTAGGCACAGCTGGAGGACCTGGTGGTAACACCTGAGGTTGTGGAGCAGTGCGGCATGGAGCTAATGCAGTCCGGTCCAGGGCAGCTGGGAGATGATGACTGCAGTGGCTCCTGCTGGTTTACCTCCCTTCAGCCCTGGGAAAAGTCACTGGTGTGACTTTTTAAATAACAAAGCTGCACCTGCATAGTCAGGGTCTCATTCTACCCAAGGTACAGGAGGAAGCTACCACAGCCAAGGAGTGGAGCATCACCTGTAGTGGGACTGCAGGCAAGGTCTCTGCTGCCTGATGGGTTATTGCCAGTCACTCAGAGTCACTCAAAAGCGATGGCATGGAATCTGGAGGTGAGTAAAATGCCCCACTACATCCTATTCATTTAGATGAATACTGTAGTTAGAATTAATTTTTTAGACAAAACCATTATAGTTCAGGACTTTAGTTAAACACCAATAAATATTTAGAAAAAACACGGAAGATTGCCATACAACAATCATTAAATTCGTAATAAAGGCAAGGAATAGGACCTTGAGGCCAGTTTTAAAGCTGTATAACTCCCTTATACCACTGTACTTTAAATTACCAAAGGCAGTGTGGTGAATTTCTTCCTGGTTGCAGCAACTCAGCTGACAGTGTTACAAATGAATCGGGGAATCCTTGAGGTTGCCTTTTCACTATCCACTTGGCATCATTAGGCACTACATCAACCATATGGGTCTGTAGCTGAAGTGGTATACCGATACATTTACATACCAGTGTCAGGAAAAGCAGACTGTCCCAAAACTGAGGATCTGAACTTGAAAATGTTCAAGTTGAAACGTTTGTTTAAAATAGCAACATGCAATAATTGGAGGGAAATTCATTGTGCAGAAAATGCAGAGCTGGCTTCTCAAGCATGATGGCCTGATGAGGGCAGAAGAGTTGCCCACTAAGGTGCTCATGTTCTCTATTCATTCAAGAGCAGGACTCAAGTCACTGTCATTGTCTGTGATACTGCTGGTTGCTTATTTCTATTGATTTAGGGTCTGTTGCTGCCCTTGCAGAAATCAATATCATGTTTGACTGGACTGACTTAAAGAAAGAAAGGAAACCATATGGTTTTCCTCATTCCTGGGACAAGTTAAACTCACAGAACACCCACTCATCTGTTATAGGAGCATTTGCACCATTGTCTTTCATAAGGCTGAAGAAATCGGGCACTCAGCTCTGAATGTTAACACAGTAACTACTCACTAAGGGCAGGATGGTGGCCCAGACATGGTGTTTCATCTGCCAAAAAAGCAGAGAGCAAATGCAGCTTCATCTTGGCTGATGTGGGGTAAATATCTGATGCACGTAGCAAACACTGCCTTGCTGAACTGAAAGGAATATTTTCATGTCCTACCCACCAAAAGGGACTTACCTAAACTGAATAACTAAAGACAAAGAAGTTGAGATAAGGCCTCATTTTTAAATGTCTCTTTAGCCTGAATTGCATTTACATCTCCATCTGCCTTATCTCTGCCTAGTGGTTTCGGCTTGACAGATCCGATGACTCACATTCTTCAAGGCTGCTTTCCCATTTATTTCACAGGAAATAGGACTGCATGTTGAGAGCACAGAAACCCTTTTCTTCAGGGTACTCTTACTCAGACTACATTTGACAACCAAAAAGGAGAGACAAGTGTGTCAGAAACATCTTTTGAGCTATATTTAGGCTGTGCAAACCCAGCAGGAGATCAGCCATTTCTGTCTCACAGCAGCTAGAGAAGGGCTTCTGTTGGGACTTTTTTAATGCAATAATGATTTTTACTATTGATGTTACTAACATTTAGCTGTACAGGGTAAATGTACACATAAACACACATAGATTTATATATATCAAGTATATACCTACAAATTCTATATATAAATGTAAGTATGCATCTTGCATAGAAATGTTCATCTTCCATACTTTGCTTTGTAAATAAGCTATACTTAGTCATTTCTTTTCCCTTCATTTCCCATTATCATGCAGTAGGCCCAGCCCGTCAACATTATGTGTCTTTCTGACTCCACTGGGGTTTTCTGGTGCTCAGCATGCTGGAGAGGATGCTCTGGTCCTGCAGCTAGGTGTGCTGGGTTGATACTGTCTGTGAGTCAGGCCCTGATCTTGGGAGCTGAACTGTTCTCTGCATTGTACTTCCTGTGACTCCTTGGCACCAAAACCCAGGGCAGAATTTACCTCTGTGCTGGGGATGCAGTCAGTACAGCTGACAGTTATTTTGCACCTCCTTTGTACCTCCAGAGCTGGCTTCCAAAGCCAGTGTTGGTACCCAAAGCGAGTGAAGCGGAGCTGAAGCTTCTCTTGCATGTCCCAGCCACCGGGTTATCTGCCAGTTAAAAGTACAGCAGGGTTAGAGCTCACAGGCTGTAAAAGAGACTGCACTGAGGGAATTTCATCTCCAGCTTTAAACAAGCTTGTCACTGCCCTCTCAAGCTTGCATCAAAGGGAGCTCTAATGAAAAGCTAAGTCTGAGAGCATGAGACCAGGCTCCTAAAGCCACTGACTGAATGAGAACTGGAGACAGCCTCAAACGCACTTGACCGAGCACTGCATAGGGGAAAATTCTTGCCTTCATATCACAGTCATAGAAGGATATTAATAGGAATAGTGAAAATCCAGCCTTAAGCACAAGAGAGTGAAACAGTTTGTCCCAAAGCTACTCAAGCTGTGTCTAAACTATCTAATCTAAAGCTAAGAACATGCCAATGCCCTACCTGCCATCATAACCAAGTCAAGATGGTTTGGGGTGCTGCAAAAAATATTGTGGAATATTGATCAAAGAATGTTTCACTTTAAAGAAACAATATGTTTTCTCATTAAAATCATTCTGCTAAAATACATGCCACAGAGCACATTGGGAGTTTTAAACAGGACAATAATTTTGAGACATCTTCCAATATTTTCTGTCTGTTAATGATGAATATTTCACTCTGTCTGTAAACAGACTGTAACTTATGGCAAAACATTCTATGTACTTTATTTACAAGCCACAAATCTTCAGGTTTTGCTATTCTCTGAACAGCTTTCAAGTGTTTTATAACTGTTCTGCAACAGTATACAAACAAAAATATTGTGAATGACTGCCATGCCAATGAGGATCTCAGGGCTCCATGAGTCAGATTCAAGGAAATGTTGGCCTGACAGTCCTGTTGTCCTGAGTGGTTTTTGATGCTTCTGACTTTTAATGCTTTACTGACTTGCTGTTTGTTCACAGAATGGATTTGCCTGGAGTCAGAGCCAGCTTCAGCTGAAAGAAGTTGTTGGGCCTCCTGCTGCATTCAAGAGCAAAGATGTTTACTGACTCTTGCTTAACTAATTTTTCTTTATAATCACAGGGCTCATAGCAGTCACTAGTCTAGCCTTCCACAAGCACATCTAGGGAAAGCACAGACTACAATAAATACCTGAAATAAGGAATGCATGATTCAAATGCAAAATCTGATGTCTTGCATGAAATGAGACAGAAAATCACTCCATAACCCACTGCACTGCAGATGGCTGCCTGTAAAGAAAAATTACATGCTTAAAAGATAATACCAGTTTTTGCTCTTAGAGCTTTTATACCATGGCAATAACCCCATGGCAGTTTAGCAGTTACTGCTCTGGAATAACAAGCCTGTGCCCAGACCCTGGGGTGCACAGCAGAGAAGACAGATGGGTACATTTTGTTGCTGAGGAAAAGAGCTTCTGAGAGCAGTTCAGGAACTTCTTTTGCAAAGTGATGGATGTGTTCATCCATGCAAACTTGGAAAAAGGATGTACCACAATGGGGGCTAAGAAAACTATGTACTATTTGTCCTCTAAGTACAGTCCTGCAGACTTCACATTGGCAAATTTATCCTGTTGTTGGAAGGGCCTGCACAATGTAAAGGAGTGACTAGATGTCTAGAATAAATTAATAGCTGGAAGAAGGGAAGGCTCCAGGGAGACCTTATTGTGGCTGGCCTTTCAGTATTTAAATGGGAATTGGAAGAAAGATGGAGACGGAC